AAATACATCTTCAAATGTGGTTATTGACATCAAGGGAAATAAAAGTAGCATGTACCCTTGGAAACAGGCTATAAATACCCAATGTTATTGTGCATCTACAAGTCACAGTTCTGCCAAATAAGATTCAATATTTTTGCTACTAGTAACACAACTGTTATGTATTTTATAACTACAAAAAAAAAGAAGGTTCACTGTATTCTTTGTTACTCATGTCTACTTTTATAACATTGGTGGCTTTATTGTTTTTGACAAAATTCTCTAATGATCTACAAAATGATAAGAAAGATGGAAATATTGTAACTGAAAAATTAAGTAAATAATAGCAGGCAGTGACCAAGACTTCCCTTTATGATTTTTATGTTGAGTTAATTCTTATTAGTTCTTTTTATAATGAATTTGTGGTTACTGTTTAGATAGCTTTTGTGAACAGTTCTAAGGCTTAAGATGAAATGAAAGAATTCAGAAACTCATGACTAGGTACATATATAGAAAGAATTAAATGCATGACATCTTCATCTCAGTAAGACATTACATTTGTGAATTTGGATTTATGTTCTCCATGGAAGAATAAACTCAGAAAAATAACTTCCAGTTACTTAAGTGCTAGCTAAACTTCCCCAAATCACTTTAGTTTCACAATAAAACCATTTTGGAATTTGCTATTTCTCAAAGTCATGTGCATTCCCAATAAAAAAAGAGTATATTGCTGTTCTTTTTGTGTTTGTTTTTTGCATAAGGCTGAAGAGGCTGGCATGTAATTGAGAAGGAGAAAAACTAGAGGGAATTTCATATTAACATTAATAACATCAAATCAAGTATTTTCAGGACTTTTTGTTTATTTTCATTTCTGTCAAAGTTAATAAAATATACAATGAAAAGGAATTTGGACCAAAAAAGTTCTTACCCATTTGTTGTGTGAAGTGGTGAATATGTTAAATACTTTGGTAGTTATACATAAGGAAATAATTTCTCTTCCATGCCCATGAAAAAAATCTACTTTGTAAAATTTTATTTAAACAGAAAGAGTGATTTAATTAATACAAAAATAATACATAGGAATACTCATGAATAAAGCAATAAGCAAAATGAAAATTATAATTTCTGACATAATTATGCAAAAAACCGATACGTACTTTTTCTCAACTAAATTTGTTGTAAAGACAATGTGAATGGTGATGAATAAGATGTTTAACACTAATATTATGGGCTATTTTTAGAACAACTATTTACTAAAAACTAAAAGGAAAAAACGCATCAATTTGGTAATCTTGCAGAGGTTAAAAGTAAGTGCTTTGAAACCGGACCCCCTGGAGTGCATTGCGGTTCCTTCAGGCACTGTAAAAGTATGAGTGTAACCATACAAAATCTAGATACTTCATTTCCATGAAACTAAGATAATAGTATTTTCTGCTTCACAAGATGGTTTCAAGAATTACAGTTTTAGAAAGTGCATTTTAATAATTACAGTTGTTAAATTTATTCTATTAAAGCAATCAATTACCTATAAAATTGTTATTAACTTTATATTATTTTTACAGCGATACACAGTAATTTCAAAGGAAGTTTGGACTCAAAACACATTAAATAAAGGCATTTGAATTCAGAGATAGAAAAGTTAAGAGTAATTGATTTTATTGAATTTGTATATTAAATGTTTATTGAAAAACTAACACAGATGAAGATGCTCATTAAATCTGTTACAAATCATAACAAGGTGTATCAGTTTTTTTTGCATTTAGGAGCATGAGACTGCACTTTCACACTCTGTTTTTCAAGCATTTTAAATGGCAAAATCACCAAGAAAAGAACCATAAAAATGTGAAAATTGTATCATTAACTTACAAAAGGAGAAAGAATTATTTATGTTGTAACAGCTAAAACAAAAACACAGAACTGAGTTCCTCAGCCTTGTTGTAGGTGAGATGTTAAATACTATCATCTGAATGTCGTATGTCCTATGTGTAGCCTAGCATATATGAGTTACTTGGGTACATTTGAGTAATTCAATTTTTATCACTGCACATGTCGACAGATGATGAGGAAAGTGTTGTGAACATTGATTTTTGAGCTTCACAAATACGTTTTGTTTTTTTTTTTTTTTTTTTTTTTTTTTTGTCTTTTTCCTTTTTATCGGTACCGGGGATCGAACTCACGACTGCCTGCTTGCAAGGCAGGTGCTTATGCCGCTGAGCTAAATCCCCAGCCCCCCACAGATACATTTTTAAGTAAGCAAATTCACAAACACAGAATCTGCAAATATTGAGGGTCAAATCTATGTAGTTGTTTGTTGAGGTAGGGATCTTATTGTAGGAAACAACAACACACTGCTACTTCAGTGTATTATACTTTACGACTTTATTTTTATAAAATGACTACTTTTGTGTGTGTGTGTGTGTGTGTGTGTGTGTGTGTGTGTATACTGGGAATCAAACTCACAACCTTGCTCTTGCCAGGCAGGAGCTGTGCCATTGAACTGTATACCTGATTCTTCATAGAATGATGATATTTATATGTGAGAAATATTTTTTCGCTTATTTTGCCAAAATGTACTATTCTGCTTTTTTAGAGTATAATTTTGTATGTTTGGACAAACATGCAGTCAACTAGCCACAGGCAAAACTAAGATTCATAACAGTTACCATTTCCCACATTCTTCTTTATAATCACCCTGCACCCCAACCCCAGACCCTGCCAACTGATTTGATTTCTGTCCCCATAGTTTTGTCCTATCCAGAGTACCATATAAACATACAATGTGAAGCAATGTTGTATGAATATTAATGGAAAGATGTATGAATGTATGCTTTTATTTTTCTAGGAAAAATTGCTGGTCATTTATTAAGTATATGTTAATTTTATCAGAAACAGAAATTGTTCCCCAAAGAGTAAATTATCATTTTGTATTTCTACCAGCATAAAGTTCCAATTATTGTTAGTATATTCCTGTCAGCATTTAATATAGTTTGATTTTTATTGCTGTTTTTGTTTGTCTATTAATTTTTACATTCAGATAGACATATTGTGAGTTCAGTTTGCATTCCTCTAATGGTCATTGTGCTTGAGATTTTTTAATATGCTTATTTGCTATTTATACATTATCTTTCATGAACTGTCTGAAGTAAAGCTTTAGAATATACCGTCCTGCTGGGTTTACATCTTGCTTTGAGACAACCCTTAGTATTTTCCTGTTCCTCTCTTTTGCAATAGAAGCATTGACCTGGTGCCTTACCATTATATCTTGAGAATATATAGCTGGGGCTGGGGATTTGGCTCAGCAGCATAAGCTACTGCCTTGCAAGCGTGCAGTCATGAGTTCGATCCCCAGTGTGTGTGTGTGTGTGTGTGTGTGTGTGTGTGTGTGTGTGTGTGTATCTTTTTGATTTTTAATAGGGGCTCACAGTTTGTCTTAACTCACAGAGACGATTTTAGACTGAGAATTTTGAGCAATGTTGAGACTACAGTAACTCTTGGGGAGGAATGAATGCATTTTGTGCATGAGAAGGCTGAATACTATAATTTGAATGTCATGTGTCCCATAAAAAGCCATGTATTAAAAGGTTGGTTCCCAGGATAGCACTGCTGGTATGAATAGGGCTTTTCAGAGATTGGACCTGGTGGTTAGTCTTTAGGTAAGGAAGGATATCAGAGTGGACTCTGAGACCCCTGTGTCTTCCTTTATTTGTTTTGCTTCTTGGTTCATAATGCAAATAATTTTGCTGTCTATGTACTGCCTTAGGCAGTTGCTCATTTCCTGGAGCCACTAAAATTTGGACCAGAACTTTCTGAACAGTGAGTCAAATAACTAGTCTGTTAGTCAATTGCCTCATGTATTTTGTTCTATTAACAGAAAACTGATTGATATGAGTAATCAGTTAGTTGTCTCATTAGTAAATGACTTGAAGAATATTATCTTCTCAAAATTATAGACGAGTTTGTACAGAAGTGATATTATTTATTTGTTATACATTTGGTAGAATTCGCTATGAAGCAATATGGACCTAAATTTCTATTTTTGGAAGTTTTAAAATAGAAGTTAAATTGCTTAAAATTTATGATTTGGGTTCTGTGACATTTTATTGTTTTTCTGTAAGATATTTTCTGGAAAATTTGCTATTAGTTTATCAGTATTATTGATCTTATACAATTTTTTATTTAACTTTTTTCTTCATAAACAATGCACCACAGCTTTTGCTAGATCAGTGAATTTTTTGCTATGAGTTATTTCTACATAATTAGTAAAATATGTAATTATCATAATTATATATAATTACATATGGTATAATTAATTTAATATGTAGCTATATAATTCTGTAATTATCATAATTATTTCCTTATTTCTGTCTATTTTAGGTTTAATTTCCTTTTTTGTAAATGTGTGTGTAGGTGTTAGCTTAGTCATTGATTTTATTCCTTTATTTTTAAGCACATGTGTTTAGTGCTATATATTTCCATTTAAACACTAATTTAGTCTGAGAAACCCATTTTGCTGTTTTTATTGTTTAATTCCTTAGCACATGGTCTACTTAGAGGTGTATTACTTATTTTTCTAATGTTTAGAATTTCTATTAGTCTTTATTAAATATTTCTAACTTTGTTGTGCTCCAATAATACACTATCAGTTATTAAAAGAAGAAGTCCCATCAGTTATTAAAAGAAGACTGTTTAACTATTTTATTATATTTCTTTAAAATTTTAAAAAGAAAAAAAGTACAAATGATAATACAGAATTTCAAAACAGAATATTAGGGCATTAACAATGGTCAATGTGTTGTGTACTGTTGTTTTCATAGTACTTGTTCAGACTACCATACACATGTACATAAAAATGATCAAACAATAAAAATACAAACTATTCTTTTTGTTGGACTAACAGAGGTTAGTAGTATAATTATGTATCTTATGTACACATGCACACATATGTATACAAAGTCATTTCCTCCCCCTTCACTTTCACAGCATCTATTATACATAAGGCTCCCACTAATGTATTCAGTTTTTTTAAAAATATGGAACACTTCATGAATGTGCATGTCATGCTTGCACAGGAGCCATGCTAATCATCTCTGTATCATTCCATTTAGTATATGTGCTGCAAAAGCAAGTACACTTATTCAGTTTTTATACTAGGGACACAACGTCATGGTCACTCATGTGAGTCTGAACCTTTTCACCCATAAGCATGATCTAAAGTTGCATTCATTTACCTACCAGAGCTTCAAGATTAACCTTCTTGATAGTTCAGTAGTTTACATTGTTTGAAAAATACCATATTTCTCTTATTCATTCCGCAGTTTATGGGCAATCTGCCCCTGCTATTTCTGGTTCCCTGTCACATGGAACATTGTGTTCTCTCCTTTGGATTCAGTCAGTGGATTTCCTTTTGAGTTAAATGTGTTTCTAGTATACAGCATATTGATGGGTCTTGTTTCTTGATTCACACTCTGCCTGCATTACTTTTGTTGACTAATTACAACCATTTACATTAATTTTTACAACCAACATATGCTGACTTGTCTTTGCCATGCTATTTTCCTGCCATTGACTCTTTCCTTTTCCTCTCCATTCAATTGCTGATCTTCCTTTGCTACTGTTCTCAGAACCATGGTCAAATTTATCTTCCTCCACGAACTCCTTCAGTACAGTTTGTAGGGTTAGTTTGATAGTCATGAATTACTTCAGTTGTTCTTTATTATGGAAGCATCTTATTTCTCCATTAATTTTGAAAGATAGTTTTACAGGGTACATTAATCTGTGTTGGAAGTTGTTTCCTTTCAGGGCTTGAAACATGTCATTCCAAGCTCTCCTTGATGGTTTGTGTTGAGAAGTCTGTCACGATTCTAATGGGTTTTCCTTTATAGATGTTATGTTTCTTTTCTCTAACAGTTTTTAATATTCTGTTCTTGTGCTGCATTTCTGAGATCTTAATTATTATATGTCTGGGTGTATATTTATTTTGGTTATTGCTAAAAAGATTCCTATATGCCTCACTTATCTCTATGTCAGGTCCTTTTCCCATGCTTGGGAAGCTTCTGCTATTACTTCTGTAAATAGTCTTTGTATGTCATTTGTGTTCACTCCTGCTTTTTCACTGACACTTAACAATCTTAAGTTATTTTCCTTTGCATCATCTTCAAGCCTGGAATTGTTATATCCTGATTTCTCGTTATTTTTGAGAGATCTTTCCTTTTGTGATCACTGGCTGCAATCCTGTCTTCAAGGTCTGAAAGTCTATCTTTATTTCTGTCCAAGTAGTTTTGCCAACTTTCGGTTGGGTTTTTAATTTCCAGGATATCTCTTTGAATCTATTTCATGGATTCTAATTCTTTTTTATCTTGTTCATTCAAGGTTCCCATCATTTTCTTGTGCTTCTTTATATTTTTTAAATCTACGTCTTCTTTAGATATAGATAAGCTAATTCACTGTGATTCTCATTTCATCTATCTGAGATATTATTTCTGATATGATTTCTTTTGCAAGTTCATAAAGTTGTTTCTTGACTTCAATTACTATCATTTCAGAAATTTCAGATGTGGAACTTTCAAATTCTTCTATGTCTGTGTCTTCTGGACTTGTTCTTTATGGGCTGGAGGTGTGTGATTGCATTTTGCTTCATCTTGACATTTTCCTGAGTTCATCTGGATGAGCCAGTTGTGGGATCTCAGATACTTCTGACATTGGCTGCCCATCCACGGTATAAGGGAATGGGCCAAGCACCTGAATCTCTCTGAATCTAGTTTCCTGGGGAGATGGTGGGGTGTGAGGTAGTCTTCTGCAGACCCTGACAGCTACACTAAGGCTTCCCCAGTTGCCATCAGCATGTGGGATTGGGGCTGCTTCTTTTCCTGGCCTGTACTGCTTACCAGTAGGAGGATTCCTGATTGTATCCAGCAAGCATATGCGGCAGCAAGCAGAAGCTCTGCTTCTGGCCCATGCTTGCTACCAGTGGGAGAGTTCCTGATGACCTTCACTATAATTGTTGATTGCTCTATGTCTTCTTAGTTCTATCACTAAGAACTAATAATATTATGAAAATTCATGTTTACACTTGTTATATTATGAATTGGCTTCCTTATTGAAATTATACTGTTTATTCCTGAAAATATTATATGATCTGAAGTTGTCTTTCTCTGATATTAATATATATGGTATAAGTTTAATTTTAAAAGTAAAATTACTATTCAGTCATTTTAGTTTTAATCTACTTGTTTACTTAGATTTTAAATAGATTCTTATATACAGCATACAAGTGTGTTATTTTATACATCTGGCAAAATCTGTCTTTAAATTGGGATATTTAGACCTTTTATATTTGAAGTAACAATCATGATAATTGTGTTTAAAATTGTCATTTGTTATTTCTTTTCCATAACTCTCATTTGTTTTTTATTTCTTTGTGCTCACTTTGTGTGTCTTCTTTGGAGTTAGCTATTTATAAAGTAACTTTTGACTTAATTAAAACATTAAACTACAACATTTTGTTTGGCTCTCAGTGGTTGTTTGTTTGTAGTATTCACTTATAAGTTACCACATTATATTTTATGCAGAATTATATCACATCGTATACAACATAAAAATTGAAGATAGTAGACTTTTACTTCTGTGCATTTGAACTATTGGAGTTCATTTTTCTTCTACATCTGTTCTAACTCCTACAAGATAGTGTTATTTTTATTTTAGTTCATTTAGTCAATTACATTTTTAAAATAAATTTATTTATTTATATATTAAATACACAAATCAAGGATTTTGAGTATATTTATTTAAGTGGAGCAACTGTCAGGATAAATCAAATTTAGAACATGTTTATTTTTTCAGTGATATCACTTGTGACAACTTATAGCTAATTTCTGCTTCATCTAGAGCTCCAGGCAACCACTAGACTGCTTTCAAGCTGTATAAATTTGCTGTACATTTGCTATCACACAAGCAAATGTGGCTGCTGAGCTGTGTAAGAAAGAAGTGGTGACAAGTCTGCAGGTCAATTGTTATCTCCTAGGCATGCTGTCTTCAAACTTTTCAAAACTTTAAATCAAACTAAGTCTTGAAATATTTCAGCATATAATTTGATATGTTTTAGTCAATATAATTAAGTATATTTAAAGGTAATGTATTTAGCTAATTTTGAATTTGTTCATTCAGTGTTATCCTGGATTAAGAAAAGTCAGTGAGAGTAAAAGGAAGCAATGTGCTTTTTTAGAATGTGACAACCTAGAGGACTAGGGGACTGAACGAGGAGTAGAGCACCAGAAGGTGTCACCAACCAAATTCTACGTATGCATTTTGTATTCTTATTTTAATATCTTTTGGAAATTAATGATACCATTTTACTATCACTTCATTTGAAAGTTAGTGCCTTCTGAGTGGTAACCTTCATGTATTAATAAATGTAATAAACTCAGTGAAGCTCATCCATATTTCTTCTCTTTCATTTTTCTTTTCATTCTTTCTTTTTCCTCATTCCAGGCCAAGTTAATACGTACATGTTTTTTTTCCAAATCTGATGTCTAACAAAGATACCGAATTTAAATTTGAAGAATAAATGAGTTTTAGTTACTCTTGTCATAGGTTTTAGCTTATTTTACATAATCTTCAAATTTCAATTAAAAGTGATCAATCAAATTACATCTTCCTATTCAAAATATTCTATGTAAGGAATAAAAAGGGTGCACACACTGTTGATGCCAGGCCTGGTGCTTGTTTCAGTAATTATTCTTGATGTCATTAAGATTTCTAGTCAAAAAATTGGTAGAGACTGAAAACATCATTCTACATAATAAACAAATGTAGAGTAAATAATTCAAATAAGTAACATAGAAATTTCTATTTTCTTTTCTGCATTAATTTCTATTGGATTTATTCCTTGTCATTCTGTTTTCCTTTGAAATTTCTCTGTTGATGATTTTTTCCCTCATCCTCTGTCTCATAAGGCAATTTCTGTAGTATTGTTTTGGAAACAAAATTGGATTTCTCATTTGAATTACAAGTCTCCTCCTTATATGAACTTCTGTAATATCTCCCTTTCCACAGAAAAACTCTCTGCAATTCTCAATAAGTGTAATAACCAGGTTGAAGCCTTTATCTCCAGTCAGCCATCTGCCTTTATACTCATTGCCAGTGTTTTTAATATCCTGACTTTATAATTTCTTGCTTCTTTTCATCTTGTAAAATCTATTGTGATTACCACCCTATTTTCCACCACTTCTTAAAGTGGCTTAAATTTAATATCTTGAATTATGAATTTATCTTCTTCAGTAACAGATTCTTGTTCAGTGATCAGCTGCTATTTGTAGTAGTTTGATAGAGAGACCTTTCTCCATTTCTTTGAGCACAGAGATAGTAGTTTCTCAAGAGTATATACCTAGTGGAGATACTGAGCCATGAGGTACATACTTTTCACTTTCATTATATAGTTTAGATAATTCTTTACACAGGACCAATCAACTCTTTTGCCATATTACAGTCTTGTCAAAATTCTTAAAGGTTTTTTGATTACTATAAAAATTGTGTCTTTATAATTTTCTTCTTTGTACATTTGTATTGCTCATATATAATACAAACATCTTTTAAATTCATTCTCATGTTTCCCTTTGTGAATTATTTTTCTTACAGATTTGCAGGCTTTAAACACATACAGTAAAGATATTGATCTTTAGACTGCAGGAGAGGAGAACAAGAAGTCAACAAGACGCTAAGATCTCCTCTAAATTGGTACCATGCATGGGCTGACTGGGGATAATCAGATGCTAGCCCCTTCTGGCATGTGATCAGGGAGACGAGAAGAGCCAACATTTCTCCCCTACTCCAAGCAAATGGCTGATCCAGAGGGAAACACAGGCTATGATGATAACTAATGAGGTAAAATACAATTTAATGCTTGTATTGCTTAATGTTTCACTGATGTTTCTGGCCTGCGGCCAGAAGTCTGATCATCTTTTAGAGGTTAACAATGCATCCATCTGAAGGTGGTAGCCATTGTTAATTCCCTATGATCTTGTTTTGAAATCCTATGTCATTCTCATTGTTTTGTTTGGTTGGATTTTACTATTTTATCTTGTTTGATTTTGTTGTATCAGATGGCGTGGGCAGCTATTTCAAAAATAAAAAG